TGTCGAGAAAACGTGATAACAATCTGAATGAGGTGCTTATATACAGTACAAGAATACAGGGTGCATTCACATAGGTGGAGTGTCAGGAGATAAATATAACCAAGGGCAATTAAGTGTGGTATAAAAGAATGAAGCAAGCAAGAAAAAATCAGACCAATGCTTAGACAGGCAAAGGAAAAAACCCTAGCATTCAAGTAATAATTATAAGTGGGACCGGAGGTATGTATGTTTGGAATTTCCATCAACTTTTATCAATATAAGAATTAATTTTTTTTTACTTTAGTCTGCTTCTATGTAGTTTTGGTATAAACATAAGGTCCAGAAAACCACAAAATTGTTTGATTTTAGTTGCTTTTGTTGTTCACTGGTAAACAGTATCCATTTTGCTGTGAAATGTTGTTACAACTTCACACTTAGTATTGAAAGAGGTCATTAATGGCAATGGCTTATGCTGGCTAAATGTATCGCATCTAAAAGTTACAGTCTTTGTCTGTTGTTTGAGAGCAACCAATCAGGTGGTAATGTATATCACTTCTGGGTAAAATTGAGGTTATCTTTTAGCATGAAACATTAGTTTCAGGCACAAAATATCTATATCTAGTCGTACTTGGTTCAAGAACAGAGATGATCAAGAGAAAGACTACTTGTGAGGTAATAACAGTTGTTTGATGGACTAATCTAGTATGGGGATAACTGTCCAATGTCCACACAAGAGCACACACTGCGTTTTGATTTTGGTTTGCATCTAATAGAGAAGTGGTTTCACATTAACATTAATTTTCCTGTCTGGTTATTTCTTAGCTGAGAAGTATAGAAAGTGATGCCGGTGATGAGCTCTGCCAATCAGAGTCACTTTTATGGCAGGAGAGACAGTGAACACCCACAGATAAAGACTATGAACCATGGGGCAGTGATGAGCTTTTCCAAGCTGAGAGGTATCCTGCAATGACGATCACAACTCATGATAAATCCTGGAGTCACACTGTGCTGTATGATGAATTACCACAAGCAACTTGTTTTGCTGCCACCTTAGACCAGAGACCAATTACTTGTCTGAGTGTCAGAGTCCCTGATTACATCTACCATCCTGTACCTGCAACATCAGCAGCATCTCAGCCAGTCATTAGTCATGGATCTGAAAGGGAGAGCTTTCATCCACACCATAGGCTAGCCTCAGAAGCATGCCATCTAATGTCTGATTTTGAGTATGGATGGTCCACCCCTGGATGCCATAGAATACCTTGATGAGTAGCAACAGGAGGACTGGAATAACACTGTATACAAGTTGCACCACCGATTCAACCCTGTACGAAATGAAGCAAATACATAGGGCCAAGTTTAAAGCTTGAAAGAGGACTGGAACTGAGAGTCTGGCCACTAACACGGACAACGTGTTCCAATTGTGTGTTAAAGAACACCCTGCAACAGCATCAGCATATCATGAAGAGATAAACTTGGACCAGTTCATCAAGGGATTTTATGGAAAAGACGAGGCAACATCTGGGTGTAAGGGATAGCTTCACCTTGACAGAGGAAGTTTCTATCATGACCCAACATGAAATTATAACTTTGGGTCAGTCATTAGACAGAAACTTTTAGTGGCTACATCTCAGACAGACTGACCTACCCTGGTTTCTCTATCATGTAAATCCAAAGATATTACAAGGGTTAATCAGCTACCCACACATTCCAGCACTGAGATGCAACCACACAGATTTCCAGTAAACAGGAAGGACTAACCAGGTCTGCCAATGGAGTACAGTCAGGGAGAAACCAAACATCTGCTTTGCTTGTGGACTGATGATGCATCAGCAGATGAACTTTGCTGAGTAGCAAATATGGAAGGGCTAACAACATCAGCTGATGGCTCAGCAGATGCCAGCCAACCAACACTGCCCATATTTTGCCAAGTAGTAAAGTGGGAAAGGTTATCAGTACCATCTGACAACTAATCAAGCTCTAGAACAACCAACGGCAAATGCTAGATGCTGTAGCAAAAACTTTAGAAAACTAATGAAGCCTAAGTTAAGTATAGTCACTTCTGTACAAGAGGGTTTAGTGGTCAAGCTAGCACTGTCACAGCTGGGTGGAGCTTAATAAGAACCTGTGAGGTTACAAGGGTGAGATGTTGAGTTTCTGGTCTACAAAGGAGTAGTCCTATACTCTAGCAACCTAGTGATATATCAGCCCTACAAAGGTGAGTAAACAAAAGATAAATATGAGCAGGCTGAGAATAAAAGTAGGAGAAAAAAATCCCCAAAATAGGAGAAGAGATTCAAGGGATAGGAACATTAGAAAAATAAAATAATTCCAACCACAATCCACAGAGAAGAAGTCTTAAGTTCAGGGAGAATGTGGCAAATGAGAGTAAGCACGAAGCAGAGACAGAAGGAATCTGCAATAATGCAACAATCAAGTGGGGGTGGATGAGAGGAAAAATATCTTATTAGTTGAGATGCCTGTAAGAAGCTCACTCAAGAACCAGCAGAAACAACTGGAGTAAAAGAACAAATGTTACATACCTGAATTATTAGAGCAGCAAAAGACAAAGGTGGATGTTACCTAATCCTCATCAGAAATAGAAGAACCAGAAGCATAAGCAAATTGTAGAAAGAGCCAGCCAAAGACAAGGCTACCTCAGCAGAAGTTACAAAAGCAGGAGGCAAAAAACCTTGGTTCCAAAATAAAGTATGTTGACTAGAAAAAACTAGGTGATGTACAATTATGGTAATATTGCTCACTATCAAAATAACTCCAGTTGCTATGCTGCCATTAAAAAAAAACAAGATAACTCCTGTGGAGAAAACGCTGACTTCAGGAGGTTTCAGAAACATGGATATAAAAACAGTATTCAATAAGATCCATGAAACCAAATTCGTGAATGTAATAATTTTTTTTTTAAGTAGGTCTTATACGTCTGTTGTATTTAGGCCTTGGTTATTTTTGCACTGATGAAATATTGGATCAATGACAACAGGGAATATACCTATCAAAGACACCATATCACAAACTCTAACACATGCCAAAACCTTGACATCTTAGTAAAAAAAAGAAATTAAATTAATATGTGAAAAATAATAATTTGTATCAGAAGCTCGAACTGAAACCAATGTCAAATACCTGTACTTTTCTTTCTTTAAGGTAAAAAAAAATGAAGGTACGAAAGATATCAAATTATCAAATGATAAGTAAAATTTGAAAATAATAGCATAAATATTATCTAATTCCACAAGCCTGTGATGGTTTTATTGTCTTGAAATTTTTACATATTCTACGGTAATTCTTGTATGCTCAATCCAAAAATGATATCCATTTTTCTCTATCACGTACAGGTTTTTCACAAACCGTCATATGTACTTTTAAATAAGTGAATGATTTTCATTGAAATCGGGTCACATTTTGTTATGCTTAAAATGTTGACAACCACTGGCTATAGATTTATCTAGACCAATCGTGACATAAGAGTCTCATTGATCATTCTAGAACCCACAAGAACACTAAAAGATGTTCTCCTTCACAATGGTAACATATATGCATCTGTTCTTATTGTTCATTCAGTTATTGTTCAATCTCAAACTTCTTAATAAGGTCAAATACAAAGAACATGGTTGGCTACTTTTTGGAGATTTAAAAGTCCTTTGTATATTGTTAGGTCCACAACCCAGTTATACAAAGTTCCATGTTTTTTGTGTGAATGGGACAGCAGAGCATGAAATCAGCACTGAATAAAGAAGCAATGGACATGCAGAGTCAGCCTGATACCAGGATAAAAAAACATTGAATATGAAAGTTTCGTTGGCACAAAGAAAGTTCTATTACCTCCACTTCACATAAAACTGGGCTTGATGAAATAGTTTGTAAAGGCCCTAAAGAAATATGACAATTATTTCAAGTACCTATGTGGGAAATTCCCAGCTTTTTCAGAAATAAAACTTAAAGAAATTAGGAAATTGACTTCAAATGAACAGTTAGAAAGGACAATGAAAAAAGTTGAAAGATGTTATGGACAAATGTTCAGGAAACAATAAGGACCCAAATTATGAAACTATTGTCAATAATATGCTCGATAAATTCAAAGAGTTGGATTGTAATAATAGCTTGAAAGTTCATTTCTTACACTCACATATTGACTATTTCCCTGAAAATCTCGGTGTCATCAGTGAAGAAAAATGAGAAAAGTTTCATCAAGACATCAGGGAAATGGAGAGGAGGTATTAGGGAATATGTAACATCAGCATGATGGCTGATTACTGTTGGTCATTGAAACAAGATACTCCAGATGCAACACACAAAAAAAAAGAACACAACACATAGTTTTAAGACTAAAAGATGTAGATTTCACAATAAAAAAAAATTTGGTTAAATGAGGATGCATATTTGTTTGACATCAATGTTTTTTTCTTTTTCTTCAGTTTGTTTGTATTTTTGTTGACATACATAACAATAAAAAATGTTTGTTTTGGTAAATGAAATAATAATTCGATCTAAGTAAGAATTTTTTTGTTTTGTTTTCCAATTTGTTAAAAATCCTTAAGTGTTAGAAAAAAATGAATATTATTTTTGAAACTGTGTACCTGAATTATAGAAAATCCATTATTAAAACCAAAACAACTTTTATGATCTATTGTGCACAAAAAGCATGCTGTCACCATCCCATTGGTGAAGAGGTATAGTCTAATAACAATTGCATCAGAGACTGGCAAAATATATATATTATATGTAGGGGTGAGAGTTTTGTTACAAATCTTGGTACATGCTCAAAAACAATTTGATAGTGATAGAAAGTATTAGCTATCTGTTCTGTTATATTGATTATGCTTAACAAGTATTTGTAAAATATAATAATCACTCATATACTGTACATTCTGTAACATCCATAACTTATCTGGACAAATACTACCAACTGTACCTAAGAACTACTAATTTCAATAAACATAATTATCTTTTGGAGTACCAAACCAAAATGTGAAAATTGACTCATAACTTTTCATCAAACTTACCTTTACAAAATCAACATTTTGTTTGCTGTTCTGCCAACACTGCAGCAAAGCTTTATGTACTGGTCTGCTTATCCAGAACTTGTTTTTCCTAAGGTCTTGTGGCAAAAACTCACAATAATTTATTTTCTTATCTTGAGGTTGCAGCTTTTGCACAAGCAGATCCCTTACCATGTCTGTAACAGCCAAACCAAGGGCTTTCTCAAAAAAATTTTTCTTCAGCACTTCTGGTATTTTCCCAGATAGAAAATCACTCCTCATCTGATGGAAGTAATAGTTGAAGGTATTTTCATCTGTGAACGTCTGGTAAAAACGAATATTTAGAGTTTATAGTGGCACTTAAAAGCAAAAATATTTGTACACAGCAGCAAAAAATGACAGAAGTAATAACATTTGTGTTGTATATTGTGTATAAATAATTCTTAAATGTTATTTTGCATTTACAAACAATTTTTACAACACTAATTAATATGAAATATATCACATTTTCAACTACATGCATCTTTCACTTTAACACACATTCACACAAATCTTAAGTGTACAACATATTTTACTCATCATCGAATTTGAAGCCAGTTAGTCTGTTAACTTATTCAATACTGTGAATATGCAGTTTGAATTTCCATGACAAAATAAAGATATAAAATCAGCGAGTATGCAGCATTTCTGTTAGATGTAGTTCATGTGTAAAGTTAGACTACTGGTGAACACCAGTTTATGCTAAACTGTAGAATGTAAAGATACAGTAAAATCTAAAGATCTAAGAGCAGAGTGATGCAAATCCAATTTTGATTTTCATTAATGGAAGACTCAGGTGCCCCAAGATGTGAAACACAGCAAACATTCATGTGTTATTACAAGTACTTGGACCTTAGAACATCTCCTGAGATAGTCTTCACACAATGTTTTCTACACTATGCTATCACAACAAGCTGGATGTTGTTTCTCTTTCCCTATTCAAACCCATGGCCAGAAAGAGCAGCAAGTGCCCTCAAATACATCAACAACAGGCAGAAAGACAAGTGTCAAATGTTAAGTTGCAGTCTATGATGCCAATATAAATCAATGGCCTTCCACTCTACTCACAAGAATTTGAAGATATAATTAGGAGTGTGTAAAAGTGCAGAGAAGAACGAGCGTAAAATGACGAATACACCCAACAGAACACTGAAGGTGAACATTTCATTGCAGCTTTGTTCATTGCTGATGTAGCTGTCTAAGGTTTTGGACACTCAATTAAAAGTTCTTGAAGTTTAGACAACAAATGAAAATCCAAGAAGTTGAAGCTGCTGTCAATGAATATTACCCAGATGCAGATTATGTTTCATTAAGCTATGGAATTAAAACCATGTTTTTTTTTTGTTTTTGTTTGGTTACCAGTTATTTGTCTGTATAAATCATTGTTACAGACTTAGTGAATCTGAAAAGTCTACTTTGAATCTAAGTTCTTAAGCCATACAACTGTAATCATATTGAGGGAATCTGAATAAATTTAGATCTCAGATAATTGGAAAATGACTACTGTGATGATTTAAACTTTTCTGGATGAGGATGCCCCCTTATCCCTCTATAGTGCTGATATTAATTGTCTACTTTAAAGCTTAATGAGAACCGTGAGTTTGACTGGTTTGGTTTTTGAATTTCGTGCAAAGCTACACGAAGGCTATCTGCACTAGCTGTCCCTAGTTTAGCAGTGAAAGACTGAAGGATAGGCAGCTAGTCATCATCATCCACTGCCAACTCTTGGGCTACTCTTTTACCAATAAATAGTGGGATTGACCATAACATTATAACACCCTCAGGGCTGAAAAAGCAAGCATGTTTGGTGGGACGGGGATTAAAACCCACGACTCTCAGATTGCGAGTCAAGCGTCCTAACAACCTGGCCATGCCGGGCCCCACTCATTTGACTTAACTGACAACATCATTACATAACTGAGACACTACTATGCCATGGTGGTATAGAGCTTGCTCTTGCAAACTTAAGTGTAGAGAATGAGCACCTGCAAGACAAAATGTCACTGTTCATCAGTGTGAACCTTTTCTTGATCAGACAAGTAAATCTAATGATTTTATTTTAGTTTGAGAGACTGGATGACTTCTACAACAAATCAAGCAAACCTTGTAAACAGAAATCACAAGTTAATAGCTGACACCACCAACACAGAAAGTGGTCAAGGCTTACAACACAGAGACTTTCTCTGCATTTGGAGATACTAAACAATCAGTGAATGTCAGAAAAACAACACATTTTAGAATAAGTTTTAGGATTATTCTGCATCAAACACAATACTTCATATAAGAATGTGATTCAGTAAAAACCTTTGCCAGTTATATTAATATGACCTGGTTTTAAAATATGGATACATTGAATAAGAAACCTTTCTAGAGCAAGGTTCTGAGCAACACAAATACTGTCTGCTGTTCTTTCAGCTGTTGCAAAATGCTCATCAAACCTTTCCCATTTCTAATGCTTTGAAGTTTTGAAACTAACACTTGAACTGAATTTGGTAAAAAAATTTTAAGAGGCCCAGGCATTCTGGGCCCCAATGTCAATGTTATATAAACGTTTGCAGGTGGATTCAATGCTTGGGTATTTCTAGCTGTGCTGTGGATGTTAACCCTTTATATTGTAAGTAGGTTATGTAACTCTCAAATTTCATTCCAAAAATAAAACTAGTAAATGAAATTTGAAAGGAACTTTCTTAAAGGCATATTGTTTCAGAAAAATAAAATAATTATATTATATTTTTTCTACTATTTCTACTAAAAGTTTGTTATTTATTGTAGTTAATTGCACCCATATTATGAGTAGTTCAAGTGCAAAGTGGTTTTCATGTTAAGTACAAAAACTACTTTTTTTTATTTAAAGTTCTTGAATTTCATTTACATAATCTCTAGAACCTCCTAAATGAATAGCAAAAGTATTTTTGAGATAAATATTTATATTTTCATTTTCTTTATCACATCACAAACTGCAGCTATTACCATCAACTCACAGTGCAATAAAATGTTTAAAATTATGAAATAGAAATACGTACACACCTTAAACTCTTCATTAAATAATCTTAAAATTTCTTCTTTTATTTATATTCCTAATTTTAGGTCTTTAGGTCTTAACCTACAGCTTATTTTTTTATGTTTATTTTCCGATCCTGTCCTCTACGGTTTACTAATTATTTTTTTTACACGTCAACGGGTGCCATTAGGGTATATAACAGTATCTTTGGCAGAGATACACAAGCCTTCAGCAAAATGTTTTTGCAATCATGTAGTAATTAAACCCTCACAAACTGGGGAGAAGTATGGTTTATATTAGAAAAATGATATACCTTTCAAATACAAAGTTTAAAACAAATAATATATAATTAACTAAAATATAAAAGTAAAACCTAAATACAAATTAAATTCCTATCTCACTAATAGGTACCTAGGTGAGAGACAATGCTAATGTATTAGCAAGAACAAAATCAGCAAACAATGCTTTGGCTATTTGGTGTACTTTGTAAAGAATACCACATACCAGTTTTAAAATAACAGTTGGGAGATTGTAGTTTAAAATGAGCCCTTCCTATTGGTTATAAACATGTCAATCAAATAAGTACATGTTGCTTGAAATAATTTGTTCAAGTAAAAAGGTGGGCAAGGCAATATCAAATGGTGAATAAATTTATTTTTTCTGATATCCAGTTGAACTGATGGAATTTGAACTAAGAACACATAAACAGTGCTATGCCAGTTGATTCAGTCTAGACATACATGTACAATATACATGAGCTATTATTCAAGTAATAGAGATAAAACTTTAAGATCTGTAATCACTCGAGCATCACATGACAACAAAACTGAAATGTAAGTATTTTTATTTAAAGATTTCTTTTGAAATAAATGAATTCAAACTTATATAACATATAACTTTGAATTATAATGTAAATGTTAATTTCATTAGAATACATTAACAGTAAAGATATTTAATTAAATTCTGAATGTAACTCAGTAAAACATCATGACTTGCATATAAAGGAGTTTAAAGAGTGCAGTCAAGGTGAAAGGGTTAAGGTACCACAAAAAGACTTCAATCAATTAGTTTTTAGGACATATGTCTAGCATATTACCTTTAATTATACAAAGTGCAAGATAATACATTTCACTTATCATAATTTGGATCACACATTTAATATATATGGAAACTCACTCAATAGCATGACTGAAGAGAATTATCTTGTATGAGACTGAAAAATGAGTCAAAGCAGATTTGTCTAAAGCTACTACCTACTGATGAACGGATATCAATGGCCATGAAAGATTATATTACCGTAAGAACCAGTTTCATTTCACAAGAGTGGGAACAGAGAAACAATGTGTTCAAAACACAAGCATTGACTAAATCTTACAAAAGAGAGAATCTAGCAGCTGTGTTAAACCAAAGGGTGTGACTGAATGGGAAATACTTGTCAATCCAACCAACAGTGATAGATAATGCCTCCAATATCCTTGTTACAGTTACTGCAGCTAAATGAGAGCCATCCATCTGGTGTTGTGCCCACACTTTGAACCTTGTAAACAAGAAATCTTTGAAAGCGACCACAGTCAGTCAGCTTCTTGGCGAAATGTGACAAACTCTCTATTTAAATTAATTTACAGGAATGCAGCTGTAACTCCACTTCATAATTGGACGATCAAACAACTTTCCTTACTAAATCACAAGCTGATATAGGATATGTGCATGTGTACTGGAAAGATTTTCTTAGAATTACATTTTAAAGACAATGTTTTTAACACTAGTTCACAGGAAATATATCACACATTTTCAACTACATGTAACTTTTACTTTAACATACATTCACAGGAAATTCTAGCCTGCTTGACTCCCCTCAGAACCAAAGCACTATACACAGAGCAGACACCTACTGTGTTAATCATCATACCCCTGCAACACATGTTTATCACTACACTGATGGTGGATGGTGATTCTGCTATATTCAGGGAGACAAAAAAGCCATTATTGACAGTCTTATGCCCAGATTTGTTAAAAGAGTTACTTCAAAAACTTGCATATACTTTCCCATTCACACAAAAAGTACCTCCAGCTTGGAGAAGTGCTGTCAGAAAAAGAGAAGCCACACATGAACAACATCACATCCTGACAGCCCAGAAAAAGTGTGCAACATATAAAGCAACCATCAGAACCCACCAGCCCCCCTGATGTCTTGCTCTCAATGCACCAGACATTTTCAGACCAGGATCGAGCTAATCAGTCACCTCAGAACACACAAAATCAATGAATGATGAAGAAGATGGTC